CTTATACATGTCCTGCAGCCATGCTTGGTGTGGTCTGCCCATATGGGTGCTCTTACTTGATTAAAAAGTATAGGATTATTAAAAAAAAAAAAGCGTAGGATTGTCAAACTCTATTTTCAGAGAATGATGAGGAGCAGGAGGCATTGCCATCTCTGGATAAACCTGGCTGGTACTCCCAAGGGAACGCTGTCCACCTTTATGAACTTCTGAAGAAAATGACCGGCAAAAGTGAACCCAAGGTATTTTCTGATTGAGGTGGAGTTCTTGATGCCCACTTACAGACATAAACCATTATAAATTAAAACATAATTCTAAATGCATTCAGCTTAGTTATCTATGGGGAAATCATCTACCTCTGCCTATCTGTCAGTCTCTTATTTCTTGTGCTGAAACAAGCCCTTTCTTTGTTGATCTAGACTGGGTTTTCATCTCTAACGGAAAAGAGCAGAGATTCCAAGCAGGGAGCCACAGTTCTAGGGAATACACTGGATAAGTGTATGGGGTACCTGAGGAATGATACCCTATAACAGTTCTCAAAAAAATTTTGCAGCAAGTGAAATACAGCACAGACTAGCCTAAAGACCCACTTGCTTTTGATACTCTGGTCACATTGTTGATATTGGACATTGGTGCATTTTTTACAGCAGAACCCTTTCTTCTGAAAAATGTTTATTGGAGAGATCAGTGTGTAACTGAGACCTGCGCCATTGGCTCCCACTTTGCCATAAGCCCCTGGGAATTCTTGAGGGGTTTAGTAGACAGAGCATCCTGACTTGAAGGTTCTAGTTCATTTTCCCTTACTCTCGTTTCTCATCTGTAAATTGAGGGGTATGGATTAGATCGGTGGGGCAATGCCTCAGAATAACTGGGGAGCCTCCCAGAGTCCACCTGCCCCAACCCCCTGTCCAAGATTCTGTTTCGGCAGGTTTGGGTGGGTACCAGGAACTCCTGGGCAAAGGCTGTGATGTGTGCTCCTGTTAATCTAACCCACTGTAACAAGAACAGGTCATCTGTAGTATGTCATCAGTTCTTCAATCCTGAGGGCAGGTTCATCTGCACACATATGGACTCTGATTTCTTCAGAAAATTGAATAAAATCAGTTAGCCTCTGCCTTTCTTCTACCTGCAAATGTATCGTGTAACTTCTTACAACAGACTGGTGTCCTGCAAACCAAATGCGGCCAGTTTACAGTCACCTGTGACGTTACTCAAGGATGTTTATGTAACTTTTGTCTTACTCTGATACCTGTTGACGAATTTTTTTCTGCTTCCGTGAAGTGAACACTTTCTTGCACAGTTCTCATCCCTCAAACGGAATTTGCTGTCTGACTTACAGGTCGTTTACTTTGGTGACAGCATGCATTCAGACATTTTCCCAGCCCGTCATTATAGTAACTGGGAGACAGTTCTCATTCTGGAAGAGCTCAGAGGGGACAGAGACGGGAAGCCTGAAGAATCAGAGCCTCTAGAGAAGAAAGGAAAATATGAGGTAAGGATTCCCTTCAGCTCTCTGCTGGAAAGAAAAACCTTTATGTTGATGTATCTTAGAAAGAGCTTGTTTGTGCCAAGAGTGATGAAACCTGTTGGCATTTATGGTGATCTTCTTGCCATCTCAGCTCTATTGTTTATTTTGTTGATAATTTTTAAATGATGCCAAGATGACCCTGACCATCTGTCTTCCTAGCCGTCTGCTCTCATCCAATGCTGTGAAACCCTGGGTGATTTTGGCTGATGCTGAGATGGCTAGATCCAGACTCACTGTAGTCATACCCTATGTCTCTTCTGCTTGGTCATGAAAGTTCTTCCGCGCTTTTTTTCATGAGTTTACGTTAACTAAACTGGTAACTCCTTTAGACTTATTCCTGAGCTGCCGAGAATAAACTTAGGTGAAGACTGGAGGTAAAGAAAAGTAAAATATGTCTAGAAAAGTAAAATAAATCTAGAAAGGGAAAATAGTATAAAAAAGCAAAAAGGGGGTACCTGGGTGGCTAAGTTGGTTAAGCATCTGAAGCCTGCTTCAGGCTTTGTGCTGACAGCTCAGAGCCTGGAGCCTGCTTCAGATCCTGTGTCTCCTCTCTCTCTGCTCCTCTCCTGCTTGCACTCTGTCTCTCTCTCTCTCTCTCTCTCTCTCTCTCTCTCTCTCTCTCTCCCCCTCTCTCTCTCTCTCTCTCTCAAAAATAAATAAAAAAACATTAGTAAAAAACATTAATAGGGTCACCTGGGTGGCTCAGTCAGTTGAGCATCTGACTTGGGCTCAGGTCATGATCTTGCAGTTTGTGAGTTCAAGCCCATCGTGGGGCTCTGTGCTGACAGCTCAGAGCCTGGAGCCTGCTTCAGATTCTGTGTTTTCCTCTCTCTGCCCCTCCCCCGCTCATGCTCTGTCTCTGTCTCTTTCTTAAAGATAAATAAACATTTAAAAAATTTTTAATGTTTTTAAATGTCATGTTTTTATGAGGTTTCCATTGAGTGCCATTTAGTCTTCAACATGACGTTGGAAGTTTTTTGGGCTGAGTTAAGAAGAGCTTTAAAGCAATCTTGCAGGAGGTGTAGGCCTATCTTGAGTGACTTTGGAGAAGATTTTCACTAAAGAGAAATTAGGAGCTTTGGTTTCTTCAGAATGATTTGAGAATGCAGGTACTATGTTAAGAAAATGAAGAATTCATGGGAAAGTTTCCTCCAGCATTACAATAAACAGTAGCCCAATCTTTTCCCCACAGACCTCTTTCCTCTTGTTAATTAGTTACAAACACACCATAAACAAAGAGCTCATAATTGGCTTTTAGACAGGAAATAGTGAGTTTTATTTGAAGATTTGAAGGTTTTTTTGAAAATTTTACTTCATAAGACAAAATTGAAATAATGTTCCTTTCCTATCAAACTCTACCTCCCCAACCGACCCTGCCCCACTGAACATAGACAAGGAAGCAAGGAATGGGAAGGTTTGGCCTAGTGATGGGGTGAGGATAAAGCTCTCAGAGGGTTCCAGAGTTAGCCCTGAACTCTTTCCATCTCATGCTATTGAGGTTCCAGGAAAAGGGAGTTGTGGAAGATAGATTCCCTGTCCTGTTGGGGGCTGAGGCAGGTGTTTTGGTGCGAGATTCCCAGTTGTGGCCCAAAGCATTTTGTTGAAAACTCCCAAGTATCCTCGTACTCCTTGGCTCCAAAATTATTCTGGTCATGCTGACACCACCAGTTTTGAGGCAGTATTTGTATTGACGGCCCATTCTTAGTAGAGGTTTCAGGCCAACTTAGGAGTTTTATCTACTCTAAGGAAAATCCCTTATCATACATCTTTCTGCTTATATTTAAAGGCAGATTTAAATTTTAATTTAAAAACAATTATGTGGGTTTTTAAAAATTATCTTGTAACACAAATCTAGGAGCTTCTAAAAGACTTCTAAAAACTTCTAAAAGACCGCTTTCATATTTAAGTTCACCTGTATTCCTATTCACAGCACACTTCTTCCATCAGCACATCAAAGCCTGGTGTAAGCACAGCATGTCATGAGAATTCAGTTGCTTTCCTGCTTCCCTGTGAAGGAAACAAGAATATAGATACCCTCAATTGTTACAGGAGGAGGAAATCATCCATTAAGCATCACATGAGGGTTCATCTGTTGATTTTGTGATTATTAAGAAAAATGTAGTTTCTGGGGCGCCTGGGTGGCGCAGTCGGTTAAGCGTCCGACTTCAGCCATGTCACGATCTCGCGGTCCGTGAGTTCGAGCCCCGCGTCGGGCTCTGGGCTGATGGCTCAGAGCCTGGAGCCTGTTTCTGATTCTGTGTCTCCCTCTCTCTCTGCCCCTCCCCCGTTCATGCTCTGTCTCTCTCTGTCCCAAAAATAAATAAACATTGAAAAAAAAAATTTTTAAAAAAAAGAAAAATGTAGTTTCATTTTCCTAATCAGATGTCAAACACAACATATGTAACACACAGTCTTTTATTAAGTACAAAGCCTGAATGCAGAAGGATTTAGTTTCTTATTTCTAGTTAACTTTATTCAGCTTAAGTAAACTTTTCACAGTATAATTTAAAAACAAATCAACAAGATCACTCGGGATTGATGCACTCACTGAACCAAAACATTAACATTTACTGTATTCTGTGGAGATTAGCATTTTGTTTCACTTAGGCTTGAATTCAGTTTCTTAGATATTTACAGTAATTTCTACCCTAGATAAAACCATCTGGAATGTGAAGATTTTACCTCCCTTCATTTGTGACAACAAGCCCAAGATAAGGACAGAGAACATCTCAAATGGCACTTCAAAGGCTTAGATAAGCAAGGCTTTTTCAAAGGCGCTTTTTTTTTTTAATGTTTGTTTATTTTAGAGGGAGAGAGCATGCGAGCCTACATGATCAGGGGAGGGTCAGAGAGAGAGGGAGACACCGTGAGATCATGACCTGAGCTGAAGTCAGAGACTCACCTGACTGAGCCCTATAAAAAACTTTTTCTAGAATCTTACTGCATCTGTTGATTTTCTAGTGCACTATATTGGAGCGTGGCAGATAAGGAAAAATGGCCCATTTTAATGATTAAAGTAAATCCAGTTAAGGAGACTAGGGGAAAATAATTTGTTTTTGTTCATCTTTGTTTCCAGAAATAAATCTAAAGTCACTTCATTAATCTTGCAATTACTTAGTCTTAATTTCATTAAGATTAGCCTCCAAAGGGAGCTCTCCTCTTTAGCTTCCTGCATTAGTGTTCTCATCTGTTTCTTCATTTTAACTCAAAACAAATGAAAATATATTCTTCAGCTTTTTAGAATAACATTATGAAATTTAGGTGCCAAAACAATTCATTTTAATGATGAAAATTCTCAACAAACAAGAAGGGGCCACCCTTTTATTAGAGAAAGGCTATCCAACAAAAAAACCCAGTGAGAATATAATCTGTAATGGAAAACTTTAATGGGGAAAAAAGCCATACTTAATGGAGACATAGGCCCTTTAAGGTTCTGAGCTAGACAAAGGATATCTGTTATTAATTATATTGTGTAACAGAGAGCTGGCCAAAACCACAAGAAGAGAAAAAAAAAAAAATACAAATTAGGATTAGAAGACACCAAATTGTGATTATTTCAGAGTTATATGGTCATTAGCATAGAAGACCATAGGGAATCAACAAACTATTACAACTTTGAATAGAGTTGTCAAAATGCTGGATCCAAATCAGCATTCAAAAATCAATAGCTTTTCTATGTACCCTCAGTAACCACTTAACAAAGTATAACGAGAAATAAATCATTTAAAAAGCAATGAAAATGAATCACTATGTAGGAATTAATACATCCCATAAGACTTAACAGAGAAATTTTTAAGTCTTTAGTAAGGATTCTGGATTCCTTTAGTAAGGAATCAAAAGTACAGATTTCTAGTTATAAAATAAATAAGTCTTGGGGACCTACAGTGTGGTAACTATAGTTAATAATATTGTATTGCATATTTGAAAGTTGCTAGGATATTAGATTTTTAAAGTTCTAATCACACACACAAAAATCTTTGTAACGATGTATGGACTTACTGTGATCAATTTGTAATGTACACAAATATGGAATTATTATGTTCTGCATCTAAAACTAATATAATGTTATATGTCAGTTATACCTCAATTTAAAAAAAGATTCTAAATACAGATGAACAGGGGCGCCTGGATGGCGCAGTCGGTTAAGCGTCCAGCTTCAGCCAGGTCACGATCTCGCGGTCCGTGGGTTCGAGCCCCGTCAGGCTCTGGGCTGATGGCTCGGAGCCTGGAGCCTGTTTCCGATTCTGTGTCTCCCTCTCTCTCTACCCCTCCCCCGTTCATGCTCTGTCTCTCTCTGTCCCAAAAATAAATAAAAACGTTGAAAAAAAATTTAAAAAAAATAATAAATAAAAAATAAACAAATAAATACAGATGAACAAAGGGGAGAGATACACCATATTTTAAGATTATATTGACCTATTTTCCTTTATTTACAGTCAATGTAATGTTATGCAAAATCCCAGGAGGATTTTGAGTGGACCTTCACAAACTGATTCTGCATTTAGGCAGAAAACTGAAAACCCACAAAGAGCTAAGACAGTTTCATTAAAAAAGGATAATGGAGGGAAGGAATTTCATCCTATCAGATACTAACCATGTTTGGAAGCTACAGTAATTTTTTAGTATAGTACTAATAACAAACTAAAAAGGTCAGTGAACAGGGGCGCCTGGGTGGCGCAGTCGGTTAAGCGTCCGACTTCAGCCAGGTCACGATCTCGCGGTCCGTGAGTTCGAGCCCCGCGTCGGGCTCTGGGCTGATGGCTCAGAGCCTGGAGCCTGTTTCCGATTCTGTGTCTCCCTCTCTCTCTGCCCCTCCCCCGTTCATGCTCTGTCTCTCTCTGTCCCAAAAATAAATAAACGTTGAAAAAAAAATTTTTTTTTAATAAATAAATAAAAAGGTCAGTGAACAGAGAAAGAAGAACCCGGACAAAGGCCCTCTATCACAAGTTACTATGTAAATGTGATATATGTTAGAGGGTTATCAATCAGCAGGAAAAGATAGATGGTTCAGTAAGTAGCACTGAATATAGACTCAATATATGGAGAAAAATGAGTCCCTTTTCCCCCCTTATGTAAATTCCGAATGGATTATAGATCTGAAAATAAGAAATAGATTTGTAAAATTAATTGAAGAAAATTTATGAAAATATTTTTGTGGCCTCAGAGTGGAGAATTTCTCAAGTTAGAATCCAGATGGTGGTGATGGACAAACATGAACAAAGATGAAGCCAGGGTGTCCAGCTGGCTCAGTCAGTAGTGCATGCAACTCTTGATCGTGGGTGTAGAGATTACTTAAAAACAAAAAAAATCCAGAGAGGCAACAATAAGAAAAAATGACAACTTTGTATCAATATTGAATATTTTTGTTCTGGGCACCTGGGTGGCTTAGTTGGCTGAGCATCTGACTCTTGATTTTGGCTCAGGTCATGATTTCATAGTTAGTGGGATTGAGCCCCATGTTGGGCTCTGTGCTGACAATGCAGAGCTGCTTGGGATCCTCACTCTCCCTCTCTCTTTGCCCCTCCCCCACTCTCTGTCTCTCAAAATACATAAATAAACTTTTCAAAAATTAATAAATACTTTTGTTCAAGACCCCTGGAATAGTGTTAACCAGTGAGCAAAAGATAGGGAAAAGGGTCTCACAGCATCCATTTAGGTGGGAATTTATGAAATTGCCCTTTTACGTATGTCAAAAATAGTTGAATATCAGCACTTTCATGTGGTTGAACCTGATGAAACCAACAGTGAATTCATATCTAGCCAAGTAGGAAATTGGTATCCAGCAGTTGACTGCAGGGGAAAGCTTACATAGGAGGAGATACCTGTTCTCCCTAGTAATCCACGAAGCACACATTGAAACAATGGTGACATTGATACCACCTGAAAACATTCAAATTGATAAAATTGAGTCTGAATTTTTAAATTGATTTACTAATAAAATAGTCTGAATTACACTTCTATGAGTTAGATTAAGAAAACATAAAGCGGGACCAGTATTGTTCACTAAAGCTTCACTTCATTACATTTGACAATTCTGTACCAGAATAAAAATAAATTTTAATCTTACTTTAGTAAACAGCTATTTGGTGTTTCAGTCACAAACACTGTTTTATTAAGAATTATGCCTGGATAGGGGGGAACCTCAGCAGCTTAGCCAGTTAAACATCCACTCCTGATTTCGGTTCAGGCCATGATCCCAGGGTTGTGAGATTGAGCCCTGCTTGGGATTTGCTCTCCCTCTCTCTCTGCCCCTCTCCCACTCATGTGTGCACAAGTGCACATGCGCTTTCTCTCTCTTAAATTAAAAAAAAAAAAAAGAAAGAAAAAAGAATCATGCCTGGAATATAACCACTACCCTTTAGAAATTCTCAAAATGAAGAGTGTATCTGTGGTAGGACCTAGGAGTACACCTAAGAGACCTACTTATCTCTCAGTACTCCCATCGGGTAACTAAAAAATGAAAGATATTTGTTAGAAAGAACTGATAATTTGAAACTTTGTATCAGCTTATTGGCTTTATGTTCCAGATACATTGAAACCAATGAATAATAATTGTGTCCTCATTCTCTTCTAAAAAAACCTTCCCCCCCAAATAAATACCAAATAAGAAAATTAGACCAAGTTGTTTTTTAACTATTTACTAGACAAACTAATAATAAAATTAGGGAGTTAATCATGGAGAAAAAAATTTACCCTTCTAGATTGCTGTGTTTGGGATAGTTTTTAGATTAAAACCAACAGACTATTTTTTTAAGCCAATTCTCACTTAAGATGAATGATATTTCATAATAAAGAAATATCATTCCTTTTCCATAAATGTGGTATACCTAAAGCCTATTTGCCATGTAATGCAAATGTTATTTAATCTTGGCGATTTGAGTATTTTTGAGTTTTATGTATAGTGATAGTAAATATTTGAATATCACTGCTTTGAAAACATTTTCCTTTTTGGTCTCATAAAAGATACAATGAGTTTGGAGTTACATTCTTTCAAATTCCTTTCTATGAGATATGTTAAGCTGGTTAGGTTCCCCTCCCCACCCCACCCCCCAGCACGCCTCACCCACCAATTTCACCCCTCGCCCCAAGGGGCTCTTTTGCAGTTAGTCTTGTCAATAAAAATAAGTTACAAGTTAGAGGAAACTGGTTATATTCATGACTTTTTGTCCTTCTTTAAAACTTCTTACTTTTCCATTGTGATCAGTGACCTGACATGATTATTCATACACTGTTTTTCATTTTCGAGACCATAAATGAATCATTTCTAATTCATGGAAGTATGGAGAGAGAAATCCAATGTAACTTAGTTTACATATGTATAACACTCTTTCCTATATAGGTACATCCTTAATTACATCACCTCACTGTAATTGGTAGTTCTGTGTATGTGTTTACATATACTACACATATTTCAGAGCAGTACTCAAAATTTTTATCACAAGCGTCAAACATAAGAGCTTATTGGATTAGCTCTTAATAAGATCTTAGTAAGATCACTCATTATTAAACAGTCTAACACCATTCTCTTGTTCAGCACATACATACACTGAGTTTTTAATTTACACAAGCCTCTTTGTTAAGAATATCCGGAAACTTGTGGTTGAGTTACACACAGTTCCTTTTTACAGAGTGTATTACAGTCCAAGGATAGAGGAGAAGGGAAGCTTGAGTATGCAAATAAAACATAACTGTCTGGAGGGAATACAAGTTACAAAAGAGTTTCAGACAACGAAGGATGCATACTTCATTGAGGAAGATTACAGAAAACTTCATAAAGTATGTAGAATTTGAGGTAGACATTAAAGCATCAGTATATTTTCAATTGATGGAAATAGTAACATATTCTTGGCTCAGGAAATAATGAGTGAATGTATGGCAATTGTACAGGCTATAATGCACGGTCTTGACCATAAAATAGCAAATTGTGTAGATGTGTCAACCAGAGAAACAGTTTTGAAGGTGGAGGCTAACAGGATTGAAGCTTTCATGTAGCTGTGTAAGGGCAGACTTGGGTGGTGGGACAGGTGATAAGCCTGGTGCTTCTGGAAGGGGTTGGGACTCGAAACATAGCTACTTTTCAAACACAGGCAACTGGAAATAATGGATTTTATCCATATACAAATGGCAGTCAAGAGAAAAAGCTGGTTTTGTGAGGAGAAAATACGACTGATTTCATGTTATATCTTATTTCCTTGAAGTATTTGGAGGAGATCAAACTGGCTTGGGAGATAGGTCGGGACTAGTGAAGAAAATTGGGATATAGATAAATGTCCAAGGGAGACTAGAGAAAGGAGAAGAGGCTAGAAACTTGATGAGAACACTTACCAGTAAAGGATGATACCTACAAGATATAAAGCTCAAACAAAAATAGGAGTGCTCCTTGTTGATATGTTCAAGAATGGAATGATTCTTTTGATTAGTTGTATATATATGTGTGTGTGTGTATATATATATATATGTGTGTGTATATTATATATATATAATATTAATATATATTGTGTGTATATATATATGTACATTTTTTTTCCTGGCTTATACACAACAAACATTTATTTCTCATAGTTCTGGAGGTTGTTAAGCTCAAGATGATGGTGCTAGCCAATTTGGTATCTGGTGAAGATCTACTTCCTCATAGACCATCATCTTTTCACTGTACCCTCACATGCCAGAAAAGGGAAGATAGCTTGTTTTGTAAGAGCTTTAATCCCATTCATGAGGGCTCCACCCTCATGAGCTAAGCAACCTCCCAAAGGCCTCACCTCCTAATACCATCACCTTGGGGGTTAAGACTTCAACATCTGAATTTTGGGGAGGCACAGACATTTAGACCATAACAGCACCAATATTACATTAAGCCAGAAAGGGTAGATAAATCTGTTTTCCTGTTTTCATAGGAATAGGTAACAGCCTACATTTTACCACTCTGTGTTTGCAGAACCATTATCTACATACAGTATACGTGATGCGAATCATCTCTTTTCAGATTCATTATTTTGGAAAAGATAGTGAACTAAATAATGAATCTTACTACTTTATAAATTGCTTAATAAACATTGGGAAATTCAAATACACCTTAAATGTATATACAGAATCAAGGATATTCATCCTCTATACTGCTTTTATATATCTTTGCTGAAATCCAAATAGGTTCTTGCTGACTGCTTTCTAAACATCATCATTTGAAAACATTCTCATCTTCATCAAATGAGTTACAGCACAAAGAATTATGAATCTAGAGGCATGATTTAAGGCTCTGTGGTGTTCCAAAATGAAATTTTCATCAGAAAATGATGAGATTTTATAATCCAGATTATATGGATACAATGGGATTTTTTACGGTTTTAATTTTATCCATATCCATAAAACACTGAGAAGTATTTTTTTAATCATCTTTTATTTAGTCTACAATTGTTACGTCCCTGCTCTGACCCAGGCACTAAGCCTTAAAGTTACACTGATACATAAGGAAGTTCCTAACCTTAGGTACTTCATTATCTGTCAAAGGTGAAAAGTAAATAGTATGATAAATAAAGGTAGCATGAGAAGTCATATATTAGGGATAAACTAAGGAAAATGGAAGACCTGAACTAACCTGAGGGTGGGAGGTCAAGGAAAATGTCCTGGATGGCATCCAGGTCAGATCCCAAAGGATGAGAAAAAGGGTTCCCAAACAAAACCAGGGGAAGACACTTGTACCAGGGGAGGCAAGAACTTCTAAGCTTGGTTTCCCTTTTTAGGTAGTATACAGTTTAGTTAAAGGTAAACAACTGAAATTCCTAGAGTTTTTTATTTTGATTTACTTAATGGGGGAACAAGTTATGACATTGAAAATTAATCATTTTTCTCATTGTTCTGTTCTCTTGTTTCAGGGACCAAAGGCAAAGCCTCTAAATACATTATCTAAAAAATGGGGCTCTTTTTTTATTGATTCAGTTTCAGGACTGGAAAATACGGAAGACTCATTATTTTATACATGGTCTTGTAAGAGAATCAGTACTTACAGCACTATTGCAATTCCAAGTATTGAAGCAATAGCAGGTAAGCAGGAAAATACTTATAAAGCTTTAGCTGTTACTAGATATTAATGACTGTAAGTACTAGATTTCTTGCCTTCAAAAGAAGAAAATTTTCCCATGGTATTTATTTTTCTTGGGATACACCTAGTTATGGCAACCTAGGGAATTAGGACCTGCCTGTCTCCTGGGGCCACCCATAAAAGCTGGACCTTTTTTTTTTAAGTCTGCTTGGAGTCACAGGATAAAAGGAAAAATTGCCAGGACAGGATGCTAAAGGCCAAGTAAGATGAACCTGACTTTGGGAGCCCCCTTTCCCTCACTGTTGGCTAATTCTAGACAGGGCACCAGAGAACGTGAGTGGGCCTTTCATTAGCTGAAGCTAATGAGCCTTCAGGGACAGGAAGTGGAAGGTAGGGTCTACAAGAGGAGAGGTGGGCCTGATAGACTCTCTTAATCTGCATGGAGACCCTGAATTTACCTTAAAGATAACTGAAGCTCAGGGGCACCTGGGTGGCTCAGTCAGTTAAGCGTCCGACTTCAGCTCAGGTCACGATCTCACAGTTCGTGGGTTCAAGCCCCGCGTCGGGCTCTGTGTTGACAGCTCAGAGCCTGGAGCCTGCTTCAGATTCTGTGTCTTCCTCTCTCTCTGTCCCTCCCTGCTCACACTCTGTGTCTCTCTATCTCTCAATAATAAATAAACATTAAAAAACATTAAAAAAAAAAAAGATAACTGAAGTTCAGTGTTAGATCAGCTAAGTCCCTAAAACTGGATTGAGAATATTCTCTTTTGAGGAAGGTAACATCATTCTGGGACTCAAATTTTTTCTAAAAGCATCATTATAAGGTTCAGCACGTAATGAAAAATAGCCAGCCTGACCCCTGTTAGAAGACTGAAGATGCAAGAAGGAATATACAGCAACAAAGGGACAGATATGTGAATCAATTAAATGAACATTTACTATTGGAACAATTTTTTAAAAAAGTCCTAAGACATTTAAAGAAAGAATTTTAAAACATGCTGCCAATGGCAGTGGGACAGCTGGAATTAAAATGTTCTAATGTCCTTGTATTATATGGTAAGGCATAAGAGTATATTAGGTATTGATAACATACAAAATGCATGTGTAATCTGTAAGATAACTACCAAAGAAAATGTAATGAGATATATACTGAGCTAATTAGGTAAAATAACTTAAAATCTAAAGGAAAACAAAAATAGGAAGAAAAGAGAGTATGAAAAAGAAACAATACAAATGGAGAGTATTCACTAAGATGATGAGTTTAAAGCTAAGTAATGGTATTAAGTATGGATGGCAAAATTCTCCGGTTAAAGGCCTGAATGAAATAACAAAACCCAACTATGAGCTGTTCATAAAAGACATCTCTGAAATATGAGGACACAGTTTGAATATCAGAAGATGGTGACAGATAATACCGTGTTAATCATAATCAAGAGTTAGATATATTAATGTGAAACAAAGTAGACATTAAGGGGAAAATCCATTATTAACACAAAAGAGAATTACTTCATAATAGTAAATTCTGTTTTCAGAAATATATATCTGAAGTATGAGATATTCACTAGGGTCCTTCTTCTCTCTGAGGGCAGAACTTAATCCTTCCCTGTTTTCTTAAAACTGAGAAACTGCTGAAAAATCCACTCTGTTTTGCAGAGGTATATGCTTATGCTTGCTTATTAGTTTCCTTAAGTTGCCCTCAGAATTTGCCAATGGGCCTGAGGAGCAAACCAGTAGACTCCAGTTCTCCAGCCATTCCTTCACAGCAGATTCCTAGCCCCCGGTTTCCATTCCTTCACAGTACATTCCTAGCCCCCCAGTTTCCATTCCTTCACAGCAGATTCCTAGCCCCCCGGTTTCCATTCCTTCACAGTACATTCCTAGCCCCCCGGTTTCCATTCCTTCACAGTATATTCCTAGCCCCCGGTTTCCATTCCTTCACAGTATATTCCTAGCCCCTCGGTTTCTGACTGCAGCCCTTCAAGACTGCCAAAAGCTCTACTAGTTTTTCTGCTGCTAGTAACTGCACTTGCCCCCAGCAGGAATTCAGGGACCTAAAGGAAAAAAGCTGTGGCTGAATGTCAGCTCACTCTCTGCTTGTTACACCTTCCCAGGAAATGGGTCCTCAGGTCTTAGTTGACTGTCCAGTTTATATGGATGCTTATATTCTATCCATCTTTTCTAGTTGTCCTACCTCTAGTTTAAAAGTGAAGTCTGCTTCAGTTTTTTGTTTGTTTGTTTGTTTTTGAACCTTAGATTCTTCTTTTTTAAATTGGGGATAATACCAGGCTGCATTTCTTCCCTCACAGGATAGACGTGAGAAACAGTAAAGCAAGATGTTTATTTTATTTCAAAGTGATTCAAATTTATAGTGAGAGAATGAAGTAATGTGATACTGGAAGCCAATGAATTAGTATATAGTACCTGGATGGAAACTGGTTCAATGGGATATGGTTATGAAACAGTAAGAAAGTCAAAAAAAAGTGAATCTTCATTATTCTAGGATTTAAATATTTCTCCAAAGAATTGGAAAATAACCCCTTCTCTGTCTTCTACGGTAATAACCTCTCCTTAAAGAAGCAGTAACATTAGTGCATCTGCCTTTTCATTTTCCAAAAGCTTTCTTCCACAGCACCCCGGGAAAAAACTTGGTACAGGGCCTGTCTTCTAACTTTCCTCAGGAGAAAATACTAAGAAGGACTTAACAACAGCCAAACAAAGCTAGGCAGTGTTCCTTCTTCTCAATCTCCAGCATTCGTTTTTTCCTCATAAGGGTTATTAACTACTTGGGCCTTGATGATTCTCACTGGCATTTAATGTAAAGTATGATTTTTATGCTAGTGTCATTTTCAGAATAGTACTTCCAAATGATGTTTTACTTGTGAAATTTTTAAAATAAGGATTATCGCCTAGTATGTGCCCATGGAGTGAGTATTGTAACATGGCATATGTCATAATATTTCACTTGTAATATTTCTAGTTATGTTTCCTTGGAAGAAATTGGGGAAGAAGATATCTGAAGTCTAGCTTTTGAGAGACTTCTATGTAGATGTCACCATGTCTCACCATCAATAAAATGTGCATTTTATGTTCTCTCTCCCAGTTTCCCTTCTGGCTGTGTGTGTAATGCTTATGTGGCGAAAGTTGCCACATTGTGTGCATTAGAATCCTTATTTATCTAAGCATTCAAAGATTACTCTTAGTAATTCTCTTATTACTAAGGGCCATGAAGATTATTAGTTCCCATTTACCTGTTACATGATGCTTGAGTAGGGCCTGAGAGAGTTTTAAATTTCAGAATAAAAAATCAGATGAGCATTCCTGTTTTACGTGCTAACTTTTGTACAGAGAATGTTATTATAGTTAGATCTCTGAGGATGATTTATAATACATCTAAATTTATAATACATTTAGCTGCAACCTATCCAGGTGACAGAAGAAATTAAAATCATGAAGCTAAAAAATGAGTTTTGATTTGTTTATATTTATGAACAGCCTTTTAAGATCTACAGAATAATAATACTGTTTTTTTCCCCAGAATTACCCCTGGACTACAAATTTTCAAGGTTCTCTTCAAGCAGTTCAAAAACAGCTGGCTACTATCCAAACCCTCCATCGATCTTATCAAATATTGAGACACTGACAGCCAAATAAACTGTCTTTACTGAAAAATGAAGTGAAGAACCATATATGCAGCAAATATACTGTAAAAATGTTAATTTTTTAAAAATACTGTAAAATGCTTTCTAGGAACAAATTCCTAATGATAATTAACCAAGAATTAGATGCTTTTCCATAAGTCTCCTTTCTGTATAGATCATCTTGATGCCCAACAACTCTCATTATATTAAAATCTCAGTGTCTTAGAATGGAAAGGAACCTTATTAACATTTTCTATACCAATAATTCTGAGATTACGATTCACCTGGGCATGTGTGTGTGTGTGTGTGTGTGTGTGTGTGTGTGTGTGTGTATAAATACACACACACACACACACATGCACACTTGTACATACACATATACATACACATATTTACAAATATGCCTAGACCAATGGTTCTCAAAGTGTTGTCCCCAAACCACTAACATAGCATCACCTGAGAATTTGATAGAAATACAGATTTGCAGGCCCCACCCCAGACCTGCAGAATCAAACTCTGGGAATGTATCCCAGCAACCTGTGTTTAATATTAGTGTGACTCATATACTGAAGTTCAAAAATCACTAGCTAGACCATAACCTCCAGATTGGTTTCATTGGTCTGGGAATAGAGATGAGCACTGATGTCTTTTACTTGCCCCAGGAAAAGGTAGCCAGAATTGGGAACAACTGAACTATATCTGTTTCTTCCATCTATAGCTAAGAACGCTGAGTCCAGTGAGAATAAATGATTTTTCCAAGCTATCAGGTTTCATGCTATTCTTATGTTTTCCAAAACAAGGAGGTAAAGCAGATTTCTTCTGAGACCACACAGCTAGTATGGGACAGAAATGAGATAAGAAGCCAACTAATTCAACCTCCAGTGTTACTCATAAAGTTTTTTTTCCCCCTAATAATGTTAAAACCTATAGAATTTTCATTCACTTTAAGACATATATTCTCAAAGAGACAAAAACTGGTTCTTGGGATGAAAAAAAAATTAGATAATGCAATGTATAGTGGCCCTCCAAAGCTGAACCCTAGCCAATAAAATTTTATTCTTTGGTATTAATTTCTCTCATGAGGGAGAAATATAAAGTTAAATTTATTAATTAAATTTAATTTGGTTAATTTTTCTCAGGGTGGAGTGTGGTAATGAAAAAAAAGGTTGAGAAAAACACTTTAAGAGGTTTTATAGTTATACTGCAATTTAGGATTACTGTGTTCTATGGTGCTTTGTATAGTCCTATTATAGTAGTTACTTGGGGCAAAGTATTTGGAGCCAGATGTTTACAATAAATTCCTGGCTACTCTTTATGCTGTAATTTCATTCTGTCTATCATGGACAGTATCAGAAAACACACTGGTCACTATCATTATTTTACCTATATTGTAGCAAAGAACTTAGCATATTGATGCATGCAATGAAAAGAAATAATTTCGTTAAATTTTTAAGTGCTCAAATAATCCCAAATGTATTGTGGGAATGAGTATCTCAGGGTAGATAAACAGTTACTGAAATTTTTTCCTCAATGTCAGTAGCTCTGTTTGATATCAACTAATAAGTATATGGTAATGTATTTGAAATTGGCTTCCAAAATCTTATTGGAGGACAATAATAAACACACACAATCAGCTTAGGGCTAAATGAGAGCTGTCTCATGTATACAAATAGATATTTAATTTCTTTAAAAATAAAGCTATTTTTCCTTACGTGGATTTATTTTGTCAAGAGCAAAATATAATGTATCTTTAAATGCTTATAAACTGCTATTGTTAATATGAAAAATGAAAACCCCAAAATAAGTTAATTGCACTTTTTTGGCCATTTATGGAATGAAAAAAAATTGACTCAAATCAGAAGTTGTCATTCTACTTTTACCAGTACTTACCTAAGGAATCAGAACAAATTACCACCTAATCTTACCTTAGTTTCTTTCATCTTGTCAAAAGAGATCAGAGTTTATTTCCAAGTTTCCTTTTACCTTTCTAGCAGAGTCAGTGCTTCTTATGAGTGTTGTCTTTCTCTTGGACTATCATTACTTTCAGATTTTTTATTTCATTGTTTCTAAAAAGTGCTAGTCCTGGGGCATCTAGGGGCTCAGTCGGTTAAGCGTCTGACTTCAGCTCAGGTCATGACCTTACAGTTTGTGAGTTCGAGCCCACAGTCGGGCTCTGTGCTGACAGCTCAGAGCCTGGAGCCTGCTTCAGATTCTGTGTCTCCCTCTCTCTCTCTTCCTCCCCCACTTGCTCTTTTCTCTCTCTCAAAAATAAATAAAGATTAAAAAAAATTTTTTAACATAAATAAATAAATAGTGCCAGTGTTTCTAATAGATAAGAAAAGTAAAAATAGTAAAAAATGGCACTATAAAAGTTGAAGATATGAGAGAAGAAAAGCTGTATATTTTTAATAAAGTTAAATGAAGAAAGTAAGAAAGTTGTGTAAATGGGCAGAGGACTTAAGTTTAATGTTAGCATACAGGCCAACATTATTCATCTAAAAAGATAATTACAGGGGTGCCTGTGTGGCTCAGTCAGTTAAGTGTCCAACTCTTGATTTCGACTCAGGTCATGATCTCATTGTTCATGAGTTTGGGTCCAGCGTCAGGCTCCATGCTACAGTACAAAGCCTGGGATTCTCTCTCCCTGTCCCTCCCTGGCTCACACCCTCTTTCATTCATTCCCTCTCTCCCTCTCTCTCAAAATAAATAAGTATACTTAAAAAAAAGTTTTTTTAATGACTATGAATAAATGCAAGGGATTGGAGATTTTCTTTCCTGGCCACTGTTGACCTCATCAGCAGAAGAAAGATCTGAATGACACAGTGGTCACAGTTTGTCAGAATTTGGTGTGTGAAATACTGAGGTAACAGAGACTTCAACTAAACAGTGAATTGCAATCTAAAATTAACTAAAGTTGACTCTTGAAATACATGGGTCTGAACTGTATAGGTCCACTTATAGCAAATTTTTCTTGATACAGTACTGTAAATGTATTTTCCTTACGATTTTAACTTTTCCTAGCTTGCTTTATTATAAAAATATAGTATATAACACATATATAAAATATGTTAATGTTATCAGTAAGGCTTCCAGTTAACAGTAGGCTATTAGTAGTGAAGTTTGGGGGGAATCAAACATTACACATGGATTTTTGACCATGCATGGGGGAGGGGGCCCTAACCCCATTGTTCAAGGATCAATTGTACTTCTGAGTTTTTTTAACTTGTAATCAGGTATTATTTCCCCACCAGTTTTCATATCCAACAACTTTAAGTGTATGTATTTAAAGCAAATATATACATATATACACATACATACATGTATAAACACATGTATACACATACTTAATTGAACTGGCTTGAATGAAAATCAAATCTATATGATTATTTTATATAACCATAAAATGGAATGTCAGACTATCTCTTTGGATATAATAACCTTGACTCTATGTTAGAATCACATGGATAGATAGCTTCTCCTTAAATGTTACAATGACATTCCCTTACCTCCTCAGGCTCTTGAGAACAAGGTTATTGTAAGAATTGACTTCCAGAGGGGCGCCTGGGTGGCGCAGTCGGTTAAGCGTCCGACTTCAGCCAGGTCACGATCTCTTGGTCCGTGAGTTCCAGCCCCGCGTCAGGCTCTGGGCTGATGGCTTAGAGCCTGGAGCCTGTTTCCGATTCTGTGTCTCCCTCTCTCTCTGCCCCTCCCCCGTTCATGCTCTGTCTCTCTGTCCCAAAAATAAATAAACGTTGAAAAAAAAAAAAATTTAGAATTGACTTTCAGATTAGTTAAAGACTGGGATATTTTCAAGAGTTAACTCACCCCATGTGCTGCCCTTGAAAATCCTTGGGCTTGGTCTAGTCCACATAGGGTGAATGCAAAAAGGTATCTCTTGTTGGCCTCTAGAGTCATCCTCAGAAATAATGGTAAAAAAGAATAATAATGGTAATGAGTGCTAACTCTTCAGCAGGCTACTTCATCTTCCTTATTTATTCCTTACAGCAACCATACAAGGTGTATAATTATTAAAATGTTATAGATAAGGACATTGAAATTGACAGAGGTTAAATTAACATACTTGCTCAAAAATTTTCTGTTACTAAGGAACAGTCTGTACATGAGCCCAACTTTCACCCCAAAATTCATGCCTTTAGTTGACTGACAAGTCTTCCAACATTAGATGTAGATTGGGACAAATTCTTAGTCTAAAATCACACTTCAATTTCACAGTCACACCATGCTGGGATTAGAAATGAAGAACACAGACTCTGGCCTAAAGTAACATAAGCTAGTAAAAAATATTAAAACAAGATCTACGGGGTACCAGCTGGCCCAGTCAGTGAAGCATCTGACTCTAGATTTCAGCTCAGGCCCTGATCTCAAGGTCGTGAGATCGAGTCCAGCATCAGGCTCCACACTGAAGTTTACTTAAGATTCTCTTTCACTCTTCCTCTGCCATTCCCCTGCTCATGTTCACTCTCAAAACAAAACAAACAAAAACAAAGATCTATAACATAGAACTTACCTGGGAGAGTAGAGAACCAAGAATCACAGGAGTCCTAAAATGTATAATGAAGTCTACTCTTCTTGGAAGCCACATACACTAAAGTCATCAGTAAGCGGGTCTACCCTTTCTTTATATTCAAGTTCAAATGTTCACTTTGAATACTTAACAAATTTCCCTCTGGTGCTGAGGAAACCAAAATGGAAAAGGAATCATGAAAACTGCTCCAAGTAAACTTACGGGAGATGAGATCTCTATGCCTACTGAGAGAAGCTGGGTCATTACTTGGAATGGCAATTATATCATAGTCTGCTTGATAGGTTCTTTCACCATGCACCTGTTCCCAGAGTCTTAAGTAAAAAAACACTTTATTTTCCTTTGTTGGTAGTTTGGCCTTGGCACTTTCTTGGTTTAAAAAAAGGCTTAATACAGTTTAATAAAGAGAAGAATGGGGCGCCTGGCTGGCCCAGTGGGTAGAGCATGAGATTCTTGATCTTGGGGCCATG